GAGACAACAGGGAAGTAGGTCAGGAGTTGTTCAATAGTTCTCCGAGGCCACAAAACTGTTGCTTAAATCACCTCGGCCTTTGTTCTTTATTTCTAACTAGATAAGGTTTGTTTTTTTTTTTTTTAAATGTTGTGATGTCTTTGCACCAAGGACGTTTTGTTGATTATACAAATATTCATGGACCTCCGTGGGTGGCAGCAGCTGGCATTATCAAGCCCTGAGGGGTGCCAGGCATCGTACCAAGCCCTCCACACGCATGACGCTGAATCCTGGCACCACCCCGCTCAAAATGCTCTTGTGGCTTTCCACTGGGTGAGCCTTAAATCCAAGCTCTCCAAAACAAATCAGACACAAAGAACAAATACTGAAGAACCTCACTTCTATGAAATGCTTAGAACAGGCAAATGCATAGAGGCAAACGTTTATTAGAGGTTACCAGGGGCTGGGGGCAGAGGGAAAGGGGAGTTATTACTTAAGGGGTACCAAGTTTCTCTTTGTTGTTGTTTGCGGTGGTCGAGTCGGCCTCCAACTCATGGCGCCCGACCTCATGCACAACAGAATGGAACGCTCCCTGGTCCTGCGTCATCCCCATGATTGGTTGCGGATTTGACTTTGTGAAGTCGATCACCAGGCTTTTCTTCCTAGTCTGTCTTAATCTGGAAGCTCTGCTGAAACCTCAGCATCATAGCCACACTCAAGCCTCCACTGACAGACCGGTGGTGCCTGAGCATGAGGTGCCTTGGCTGGGAATCAAACCCAGGCCTCCCTCATGGAAGGCAGGAATTCTAGCACTGAACCACCACTGCCCCCATTGAGATTTTGTTTAGGGGCCTGAAAAACATTTGAAAATGGCTAGTGATGGTGGTTACACAACATGGTGAATATGATCTATGTCACTGAATGGTGCACTTAAAAATGGTTAAAATGGCACGTTTTCTTCTATATACTTTATACCACATACAAGCTCCACTCTCTGCATTCTGCAAGGTCCCTCCCCAACTCCATTCCCCACCACCCACTTGAATGACCACAGCACCCCAGCCACACTGAACTCTCTGGTGTTCCTCCAGCACACCACACACTTCCTGCCACAGGACCTTTGCACTTGCTGTTCTCCCCACCTGCGATGCTGTTCTCTCAGATCTTTGCACCCTCCCTCCTTCCTGTCTTAGCTCAAACATCACCTCCTCAGAGAGGCCTCTACTTTATTTCCTGATGGTAATTATCACTACTTGCTGTGGTTTCTTGGTGGTGCTTTTTCTGTCGTGTGGAGTGGCCCCCACTCTGGATTTAGCTGGTTGCTTCCTTTGTGACTTCATATACCTACTTAGTGCTCCCCCATCCCGACCCCGCCCTGCTGTTTTCACTGTAAACGGGTGGTTAGAAGGACAGGCCAGATTAGAATCAGGGTCAGTGGAGGCCAAAGGAGAATTTCACTAGTGAGACTAGGCACTTCCTGTTGTATCACACCCAGTAACTAGTTGCCACAGAATTAACTCCAACCCATGGCGACCCAATGTGTGTCAGAACTGTGCTCCATAGGGTTTTCTTCTTCTTTCTTTTTTTTTTTTTCTTATTGTGCTTTAGGTGAAAGTTTACAGCTCAAGTTAATTTCGCATTCAAAATTTATGTACATATTGTTTTGTGACATTGGTTGCAATCCCCACAATGTGACAGCACCCTCCCCCCTTTCCACCTCGGGTTCCCTGTGTCCACTCAACCAGTTCCTGTCCTTTCCTGCCTTCTCATCCTGCTTTTGGACAGGAGCTGCCCATTTGGTCTCATGTATCTGACTGAACAAAGAAGCACGTTCCT